AGCGATAGCGAGATCGCTTTGTGTTGGGTAAAATCGCACAAGAAATTGCCAGTTTTTGTAGCAAATCAGCACAACAGAATACTGAATATAAAAGAACAACTTTAACCTATGGACATATCGGTGAAATTCTACCACGTTGCCACAAATTTCAATCCCGCTGTTGCCGGATCCAGAGGTCTGCTGGCAACCGAAATTGCTGATCATGACTGGGTGAAAGGTCCACAATGGCTGAGAGGTGATGCCAGCCGTTGGCCCATAAAACATATGGAAGCTCTCCATGATGAAGAGACATCTGGCCAAGATATTAACGTTTCCACCAACTTGGAAAACATCTGCGAAGAAGCGCGACATGAAAAATTTGTTGCTTTGAGCCGCTTTACTAAGCTAGACAAAGTTCTTAGAGTAATTGCTACTATCGGCAAACTTATCCAAATTGAATGAAAGCGGCAAACAAAAGCAAAAACTCGCCAATTAAATTCGAAACCATGAAAAAATTTGATAAAAACTCAGAAATCAAGGTGATTTAAATCTCGCCAAAAACCTGATTCTTCCCCAAGAGCACAAGGACGTCAAAATCGCGGTTTTGAAAAAGCGATTTCATGAAAAACAGATAATCAGCATGAAAATGGCGTTATTCGTCACCAGTCTCGACTACAAAACGTGATGGTCCCATATGACACAATGTCGCCAATATATATTCCAGCATTCTATATATTCTAAAATCGGAATTAACCAGATTAGTACTCGGAAAAATACACCTTGATAACGCACATTGTGGTAAAGAGCACACCTTGTGGATTGCAAGCCAGAGATTTTGGACTCCTCGCCCTTCGCGAGCATTCAGAAGCAGTCAAAAATTGCGCAATATGCAAAAAATATCAGGGACCACCCTTTGGAGCTCCCATTATGCCGCCGCTACCCAAGGATAGAGTGGTAATATCTAAACCCTTCCAAAATGTCGGTTGTGACTTCAGGGGTCCTTTCACATCAAATGTGATGAAAAGATGTATGTGTGTCTGTACACATGTTTGGTAATACGTGCAGTGCACTTGGAAGTAGTAGAAAATCTCTCTGCGGGATCATTTCTGAACAACTTCCTGAGATTCATATCTAGAAGAGGAGCCT